ATCCCATTGTCGGGGGGTGGCATGAAATATGCCAGCTTAAGTGCTCTGCGGACAGTGAGCCCTGGATGGTCATGCAGAATTTGGTTTCACCCCTGCGGCGAAAATACCCTAAACAGCTCTAAGCATGGGCCAGAGAGAGGGGCTTGGACGAAGACACCTACAAGGACACGGTGTACCACTGCAAATTCTTGTATGGTATGGTATGATATGGTGTGGCATAGTCCAATGTTTCCGCTCCCTCCATCCTGTGGTGAACCAACCGCGCCCCGCGTCTCCCGCCTCCTCCTCCCCTTCGCCCTCTCATCCCTGCCTTAGCCATCAGCGTGCCCATCTCGGTACACCCCTCACACGTCTTGTGGCCCCCAAGGGAGCCGAAGGTCCCGCCGCGGCCCCGCCCCAATTCGGCACAATCCCCACACACGCTTCGTGGCCTCACGGGGAGCTCCACCGAATGCCCCGATTTGGCCGCGCCCGCGTGGCGGCCCCGCCCGAAGTCTGGCGCAGCCTTTCGCGCGTTCCGGGGTTCGCAGCCGTTCTGGCTCGAGAGCCCGCTCGCCTGCCCAGGCTGGAGCTGCCCCTCTGCCCTTCCTCCGGTGCCCGACGCAGGGGCGGAGGCGCTGCGCGGCGCCGTGGTCCGAGCGGTGGCGCGCGGGGCGCGCTGCGTCTGCCGCCGGGGAGGGCTGAGGAGACGGAGGTCCTGGAGGAGGCGGAGGCCGAGATCGAGGTGCTCAAGCCTTGGCATCGCGGCGAAGGTCCGCGCGGCGCACGGCGCAGGAGTCGCTGCGCCTCGCGGGTGAGGACGGGGCCGCGAAGGAGCGGAGGCCTTGCCGAGGAAGGGCAAGGAAGCGAAGCGGTGGCAGGCGCGGTGCTGGCGCGGCCCTCCGTGCGGCCGCCTGTAGCGGCCAATGCTCGGACGAGGAAAACCGCAAGCTGGAGAAGAAGTTCGGGGACGGCTGCCAGGTGAAGGACAGGGACATGGCGAATTAGGAGAGCAAAGACAAGAATGAGAAGAGCGCAGAGGACGTCGTCACTTAGAAGATGAGCCTCTCCGGCACTGCGCGGGAGAGGGCCGAGTCGGTCCATGAGCTCGAGGTCCAGCTGGAGGAGGCGGAGAAGCTCTGCGACGCGGCCTTGGAGGCGATCCTCGACGCGCTCGCCGACAAGTTCACGGACGACAAGAAGTAGAGGTTGGAGGCCGACGAAGCAGACGAACAACACGAGTTCAGTCGGGGCGTTGACCTAAGGAACCCTAAATAAGGAACGAGGCCTCTATTCTCCATAAGTTAAACTTCGATTTCCGATCGAAAACAGAAGGAAAACCTGAGGCAAGCTGTGAAACACTTAAGGAACGCGGAGCCCCTCCCCAACGAAAAGGGTTCCCCCAACGAAAAGGGTTCCTTCTTCAGGGCCCCGACTGTAGGTCTCGCTCATCGTCGCGGCGCTCTTTGGCAGGGGCAGGAGGCGGGGCCACCGGTCGAGGCCCCCCCTCGTCCCTTTCGAGGACACCTACTGCGTCAGGCGTTGGTCTCGGCTCGCGTCCTGCAGTGCCACGGTGGTCTCTCGCGGGGCCGGCCCGCACTTTGCATAGCAGCGCCGCGGCAGGCACCTGTGCACGTAGCTGCTGCGGAAAGAGAAGGACGGACGAGCGTCCTATAGCAGAGAGCTCCAAAGAGTTCACACGCTTCGCGGCCCCGTGGGCCGCCTCACCGAACGCCCCAACGGCAGCGCCCGCATGGCGGGCTCGCTCCATTTTGGCACACCCATCATACGTCTGAAGGCCCCACAAGGAGCCCAAACGAAGGTCCAAATGGCAGCGCCCGCATGGCGGCCACGCCCCATTTGGCACGCCTCTCGCAGCTTTTTCGCGATCCCACAAGGAACCCCGCTGAGGGCCCCAATGACAACGCCCGCATGGCGGCCCCGCCAAATTTTGGCACACCCCTTCACACGCTTCGCCGCATGGCGGCCCTCGCGGCCCCACCCCATGTTGCCCCCCGCCACCCCCGGTCACGCGTTTCGTGGCCCGATAAAAAGCTCCCCCTCATTCGTCTCGCCTGCCTTGCGATACTCAGGCCTGCATCTGGTTGGGCCCTTCGCCAGGACTTTTCTCGCGTCGCGATCGTGGAAGGTCAGCGTGCAAGGCAAATCTTCTTTAGCTGTTAACGATGCACAGAACATGAAAGGGCAAGGAAAGCCACGGACGTCCACGGAAGGCCACAGGAAACCACAACAAACCAAGGCGCCCAACAAATTCCAGACCCAGCGATCCCCGTCCTCTGCTTCCTGAAGGAATCCTATCCGCCACCGTGCCGCTGGGCGCGGAGTGGACGCGTCCTGAGGTCCTGGGCCCAATCCTCTAGGCCTCAGTCCTCGCTCGGCCCAAATCTCTTGGGGTTTGTCGCGGCTCTCCTGGGCTTCCTGGAGCGATGGCGCGTGATTTTTTCGGGCCTAGGAGGGCCCCCAAACGGGCCAGGAGGGCCCCAAGAAACCCTGAAGGCGGTCCAAGAGGGCCCCGAGTCACCAACCCATTGGCCCAAGACGCCCGCTCTCAGACGGCCCAAGAGGCCTCCAAGACGCTGCAGGATGCTTCCGAGAGGCCCCCCCGAGAGGGCCCCAACAGGCAAACATGCTTGCTTTTCTGGAGGTCCTTGACCAATTTAACGTGCTCGACCCCTCGGCTTTCCGACGCTCCAAGACGGCCCCATACACCCCCAAGACCAGCCCAAAACGGCCCACGAGGCCTCCAAGAGGGCCCCAGGACGGCCGAAGAGCCTCCCAAAACGGCCTAAGAGACGCCCAAAACGGCCCAAGAAGGACACCGTTGCCGAATTTGCCTCTGGACCTCAATGCGTGGCGACTTTCTGGTCACATGGTTGGCCTTTTGTGTGGCGTTGTTTTGCGTGCCTCGTGCGTTCTCGTCGGCACCCGATCCCTGTAATGTCGGGCCCTTGTTACCCGACTAGTTGGGGCTTCCACGTCCCGACTTGTCGCCGCTCTGCGCGGCCTAACTGCGAGCCGTTTGTCACGCATGGCCTTAGATCGCCCCATATGATGGCCAAGATGCACCCCACCATGGCTTCTAAACGCGCAGATCGGCCACGCGAAACTCACGCAAGCCAGTCTGAACGTCAGCGAACACACCATAATGCCATGCTTAGCTAAGGTCGCCTAAGCAACGCTATACTGCACACCCACGCAAAGCCAGTAAAACTATCCGCGTTCAGCTAACCATGCTTGCGCTGAGTTGAATAGGTGTACAATTTCGAGGCCAAGAAAGCCGAACCCACGCGTAGTAGGGCTGATGTAACATGCAGCAAGCTTGGTTCACAGCGCTCACCCCATATCACATACCTGTGTCGGCAACGGTATCGTTACACATCTGGTCCCCCATAGGCGTTTCGCTCAAGATCCTGCTGTGCCTTCGGGTGGCAACTCGCGTAAGAACACTTTATGACATGTGGGTGGGCAGATGGGGTACGCGAAGCGTACACGGTCAGTTGCATAAGCAAGCCTACGCGAAAAATGACACGTGCCAGCGACCATGCTATGCGCTTGCTTGTGCACATCGTGAAGCACGAACTGACTGCAACCCACACGTCTAGCGTCTAGCATGATCATTTTGATATCGCCGAAGGCGTCAAGTGGAACTGCTGCTCGCGCAGGAAGTAGATACTTTGCTCAGCACGCGCGCTGAGCTATCAATTGAATGTGGCAGTCGAAGTTCGTATACAGGTGCAACTGATGCTCAGTGTGCGCGCGGGTGCATGTACACAGTGTTGAATCGTCATCACGCTGCGCCCAGCATCGATCGTTACCGTCGGCCGCACGCACCATCTCGCCCTCAATCTTGCTCTTGCCCCTTGCCACAAGGATTCCGTCTGATGATTAACAAACGAATCTGAATATTACTAAAAACATGCGCATTGGCACACCATGTTTTCTTCTCACTGTGGATGTACAGGTGTCGGACTCGCTGGGGGAACGTGTGGGTTGAAATGTCGGATTATATTGTTTCCCATCACTTGATCAATCAATTCTACTTCTGCCGGATGTGACTGACGTCTCCATATGTGATCTCGTACACGCAAGCCGGACATCCCAATCAGAAACCGCTCAAATCAACCCTCTGGTTTGCGTCGTCCTGTGTGTCATCACCTAGGTGAAGTGAGCTACGTGTTCCTCGCAATATCACACGCCCGTCATGCCAAATTGCCTAGCAGCAGTATCGTTTTGTGTCATACGACAAAATATTTTCAGGCCGTACTGGGCATCGGCAAATCACTTTTGGATGCAATCCTTGCAATTCGACAACTTGCACCAGACCGCTTCGTCACTCAGACCTTCGTCACATCTTCGATGCGCCTGTCGATATGTCCTTCGTCGATGTCCTCAGGCGGCTACTCCGCACTCTTCTTCATGTCATGCGGTGCACCATCCCCAAGACCTTGGACTCTCATACAAATCTTGATTGCCTTGAACTCTTCGAAGCGATTAAGACATTACAATATCCCCCGCGCCATTGTCGCGGAACGCCTTGTTCGTCATGGGGACGAGCATGACGAATAGTAGGAATCAGATAAGCATGATGAGCAGGAGGCCGTGGGGAGGTGGAGCAGAATAATGGCGGAAAGGCGAGATGACGAGGGGGGTGAGAATCGAGGAGAAGGATGAAGAGAAGGGGGATCGAGTTTCGGTGATCGGGGATCGACATGTTTGAATTGAGGCCTTCTGGCGCCTTGGAAGGCCCCCCGGTCGCCACGGATTCCAGTTGTACCTCTTGCGGAAAACAACCCACGAAAGGTTCGGAAGGGACGAGGTGGCGAGGAGGGAGAGGGAGAGACTGGATGCGAGGCGGGGGAAGAAGGCGAGGAGGGAACGGTAGCAAGAGGCAGAGGAGGAGGAGGAGGAGGAGGAGGAGGAGGAGGAGGAGGAGGAGGAGGGAGAGGAGGAGTGGGAGGAGGTGGCGGAGGATAAGGAGGCGTGGGAAGGGCAATGAACACGTGAGGGGAGGGAGACCGGGCGGGGGGACAATGGCAACGAGGCACGTCCCAATTCCTCAATTGGGCCTGCCGTGCAATACCTGGGCTGGCATGGCTTCCAAGGGTGGTCCCACGTCTTTCGCTCGGAAAACCTGCCAAATGTCCCAAGGGGCTTGCAGAAGGCCCCAGGCGGCTGCGTAGGCCCATCCTGGCACTTCTGCAAGCGCTGAGCACGCGTGCTGCGAGGGTCTGGCATCAATGGGCATGTTGGGCGCTGTGAGCAGGCCTCTGGCACGCACTCACGAAGAATACTCAGTGGACGGAAGAGTCGCTAAAGTCCGCCACCGCGCTTGCAGCGGTAGGTGTGTGTCGGGCCCTCTTGCTCCTGGTGAAGCAGTCGTTGGTGCCCCCCGACGCATCGAGCCCAAGACGCAATCATCTTTATGACCAAGTCCCTGCGTTTTTTGGCCTTCAAGGCAGGAAACGTACCCAGAGACGAGGTTGGGGGAGGGAGGTTCAATGGATCATCCCAACCCCCCCTGGCGCCCGCCCCCCGCTCCTGGAGCCCTCCCGAGCGCGATGGCGGAATCGCGCGGCAGCGCCACTGGATAAGCCTTGTGGAACGCACCGACGACAAGCCTCCGGAGCCACCCTTCCTGCCGAAGATGCGCCTCATGGTGCTGCCGCCGGGCGACGAGAGCTCCAACACCTTGGCGACGGCCCTTTCCCCAGGGCCGGTGTTTCATCGCCTTGGACGCTCGAAATGGGTACGGAGAAAAGGATTACGATGCCCAACAACAATTGTTGTCCAACACCGACAGCGGCCGCTGTTGGGCAGGCGGCCTCCTGTCTCAAATTGACAACGTCCGCGGCGGCGCGGACAGCGAGTCCTGATGGGCCCGGGGCCTGGCGAGGGCCCCTCGAGGCCGAACGCAGCCAAGAACCTCGTCCCTCCTCGACTTTCGATCCTCGCAGCTCGGGGCGGCGAACAGAAGAGTCCCAGCTCCAGCCCGTCGCCGCCGTCTTTTCACGCCTGCTGCCGGTTGCGCCGCCAGCTCGGCGCGCCGCTCCCGCCTTCGAGCGCCCTGTCTTGGTCTGGCGGGCGGCTCCACACCGCCAGGCGGCCGGGATTCAGCACCGAGCGCCAGTGTCAACACTTCGGAGCTCCCCAAATCGACTCCAAACATCCAGAAACCTCCTCGAGCTTCAATCCTGGAACCTCACATTGTGCATCTTGGGGGGACCTCGTCTGTCCCATCGCGCCAACCATCCGCAACACATCCGTATCGAATCCACGTCGGCTGCGCCGAAACCGTGTCGAAATCGCGTCGCATCCGCGCCGAACCCACGCTGGAGATCAGGAAAGGCCTGCCACGCACGGGACCGGCAAGGCCCCCCCGAGGATGCCGCGAAAACATACTCGACTTCCAGGAGGAGCCGGTGACCCCTCCCAGTGGCAGGAGAGCCCAGAACCGAATCGATAAGTCGGATCGGCGATCGATGTGAATCGGATCGGCGGGAATCGGCAGCTGAGTCGGGAAACATCGAATCGGCAGAAATCGGCAGGCTAGTATGCCTCCTATAAGAAATCGGAACCCAAGTCGGAATCCGAAGTCGAATCGAATCGAAATCGGAAACCATCGAAATCGAATCGAATCGAACCGCGGGAATCGACACGAGCCCTGCCAGTGGGGACCCCCCCCCCGGGCTCGGCAGTGCGCACACAAGGGGGAGCGAGCGAGCGAGCCAACACACCGCAGCCGAGTCGACAGCGGCGACCGTGTTAAGGGAGCAGGGCCCCTCGCGGCAAGGTGGTGGACATCGACTTCAGCCAAAGCTTCGTGGACGCCGCGCGGCAGATGCGCGACGGGCAGGAGGGCCGTGCGCCGAGGGCAGGAGGGGGCCAGAAGAGGAGGGGACGGATGAAGGATGCCGCGGAGGGGCGGGAGGGGGGAAAGGAGGAGAGGGGGAGAGGAGGGGGGCAAGCTAGGTGCGCTCGCGTCATATCTGACGCCCTACCCCTCCCTCCCATCCCCTGCCATGGCGTAGATCTCCTCCCGATTGCACACTCGGATGTCGCAGCTTGGCACAGCACCACCTGGCACGGCATGCTGCTGACGATAGACTCCAACCCCTCAGCTCGAGAGGCAGCGCCGCGGCACTGCAGAGGGAGGCGCGGGCGCCTCCCGTAGGCACAGCGCGGGCGGCGGCGGCGGCGGCCTCTGGCACCGAGAGGATGTGTTTCCTATGGTGCAGCGCGCGTGGGCACAGAGGCACTGCGGCCGAGGAGGAGAAGGAGGAGGAGGAGGAGGAGGCGCGATCCCCCGACCCCATCTCAGCCACAGGCGCGGGCACGGGGCAAGGCCTGTTAGAAGGAGGCTGCTCCTGAGAAGGCGCAGGCCTCACTCATCTACAGATGAGGCCCGCACCTTCCAAAGAAGCAGGGGTGCTTCCAGGCAGCCCTGACCCCTCCCTTCTAGTCTCTTCCTTTTCTGCGCGTGGCCGATTGGCACTGCCCGGCCCGAGGGGAGCGGGCATGGCACACCGGGGGGGCGGCACAGACCCTCGGACACTGCGAGCCCTGGGCCCGCCCCTGGCAGAAGCCCGCCGTCTACCATTATCGCTATCCGGCGACCCCAGGGGGCGTGTGCGGAATCTGCCTCAGCCAGACACGATGCCTCCTCATACGCTCCAGCCTCTCCGTCGACCCCCCACCCCTTGCCGTCGCCGCTCGGACGTCCATTCCCGTGCACTTTTTCCCGGTTTCGTGTGCGTCTTTATTTTTTGGGCTCGATGGTGCAGAATGCTTTTCGATGGCCCTCGCCGGGAAAAAATGCACACGCCCGAGCGACGCCAAGACCCAGACACTATGTGCCTCCACGACAGCGCCACACCGCCACAGCGCCCGTGACCCGGGCCCCAGCCCCCCTCCTCTCCCTCTGTGGTCAAGTCACCGTTGTTGGGCCGGCGCCGTCTGGGGATGAGCCAGGCATGGGCATTCCGAGGACGGCGCTGGCGCGGATCGTGACATGGATTGCCCCCGCCCCCCAAAGAGCTTGGAGGCGGTGGTCGTCAGCGTCGGGGATCGCACCGCCCAGATCCGCCTCTGGGACCACGGCGACGATGCGCCGCCGATCGGCGTCAACGTGGACATCCTGGAGCCGCTGGATCTGGCGGGGGGTGGTGGCAAAGGGGGACGGTAGGTGGGCTCGCCGTTTCGCACTGACGACCCCCCCCCGTTCACGCCCGTCATCGCCAGGGGAGGAAAAGCTGTCTCCAGGGACCAGCCTCGGGCCTGCACAGGCGGCGAGGGATCGGCGGCGAGGGAAGGACGCGTCCCTCATTGGGGGGTGAGCCATTCGACGCTCTGGGGCTCCTGCGTCTGTGAAAGGAAGGGCCGACATCGGAGGATCAAAAAGCGTCGTCGCTACGAAAGCTTAGCTGCCACAAACCAGTGATCCCTGTAGTACACTCTCTGGGAGGAGCGGCGGGGTTGGGTGCTGCTGCTGCCGCCGATCGTTCTGAGCTGCGTGCTTAGACTTAGACATCCGGCAGTTCGCCCACGCCGAAAGGGAGGGAGGATGGAGGAGGGGAAAGAGGGAGGAGGGAGGGGAGGGCAGGGGGGACTCGGATCGAATCGAGCTCTGGGGCCGGGGCAGCTCTTCGACAGAAAAGGGGGGACGAGGAGGGATGCGGGCGGAACGGGAAGATGGGGGGGGGAAGGAGGGAGGAAATGCAGAGGACGGGGAGAGGGGAGGAGGAGGAGAGAGGGATTGGGAGGGCTGGGAGGAGGGGATGGGAGGATTGAGGAACACAGGCTGATGGAAAAGGGGGGGGGGGAGGAAGGAGGAATGGATGGGGATGAAGGCATGGGGGGAGGAGGGAGAGAGAACAGAGGAGGGGGAAAGGGAAAGGAGGGACGGAGGAATTGGAGGAGGGCTAGATGGATGGGAGAGCTCGCTCCCTGTCGCCCAGACTTCAAATCTCCCTGCGGCGCGACCCAAAGTGGTGAGGCACTGCTGCACGGCCACGCCAAGCGGCCCTCCGATCGGGCCCAGGAGCGGCAGACACGCAATCCCGCACCCTGCGAAAAGCGCGAGCTCCAAATGGACGATAAGCGGCATAGGGGGGGGAGGAGATACGAGGGGGAGGGAGGAGAAGAGGAGGAGCAGCGGGAGGAGAGGAGGAATCATGAGAGAGAGAGAAATATTGAAGGAAAGGACGCGCGAGGAGGAGGAGGAGGAGGAGGAGGAGGAGGAGGAGGAGGAGGAGGAGGAGCAGGAGGCGGGCAAGGAGGCGGGGAAGGAAAACGCAGAGCGCCACGACAAGCACTCCCCCTCCCGCTCCCATTTCCAGTCTTCCTTCCCACCTCCTCGAGGGGGGGCATCTAAGCCGTCGAGGTACCATCTGGTCTTTCTCGTAGAACCGCCGGCTGGACGCCCAAACAATTCCAGCGTCGGTCGTGCTCACTATGCAGAGGGCCTGATAGGAAGGGACACGCATAGGCCGTTCTGAATGAGTTGGTAGAAACATCACGTGGGAAGGCTGTTTCTGGCGGCGCGCCGAGTGGGGACGCGATAATGAGCAGGCCTTCTCAGAAGGCGGCGGGGCTTCGAAGACGCCGGCGGGGCTTCGAAGAAGGCCTAGATGACTTCTCAGAAGACCGGATGCCATCTGGGCCTTCCGAGAAGGCCCGCCCCCTCTGCCTTCCCCCCTCGAGGCGCAGCCGATGTTAGGCTGGCCCAGTTCATCGGCGGATCGAGTACGAGGCCATTGTTTCTTGGATCATAGATGTGCCTAAAATGCACTGGGATCGGAAATCCGTCAATATGCAAAGATCTCAGAAACCGATGTCCACGGTGTGCTGATGCAAAGCCTGTGAGCGTGCCAGCTCGCAAATTTGCAGTATGACATCAAACTATGCGCCATATTGATATGCAGTGGCAGTATCTCCGAACACTGCGCAACTCATCGCGTTCGGCTTCTTCTTGCCACGGGTTACTTTTTGTATGGTCCGCACCAATCTGCCATGCTCAATGCTTAGGCCGTGGCAGCTATCAGCGGGCCATCATGCTGTCTGCTTCCTTGAGGGAACATCACCGATCGATCCGATCATTAAGACGCCATGGCCCGAGGAGAGGGAGGAGGGCGATGACGAGACGCATGCGGAGGCAGAGCACGAGGACACGGGCGAGGGCCAGGACGAGCATAGGCAGACACACAAATGGATGTCTGACGCCACGTGGATACCCGTCGGTCGGAAGAAGTAGGTAAACACATGAAGTAGGATGGCGCTAGAAGTAGATAGGGTCTCCGCCCGCCCCATGAAGACGAGGGAAGGGGGACAACCGCCCGACTCTATTGGGATCCGAAAATCCAAACATACGCGCTTTCAATGACCGACAGGGCACGCAGAAGACATCGACACACCACCTCGGTGCCAGGCCAGGGCCAATCCTGGGCCCTGGCATGGTGCATGCGCCCTCCTTGCCTCGGCCAGGAGAGTCCGTACCCCATCGTATGGCCGAGGATGGCCCAGGGCAGACACGGTGGTGGTGTTATCGTAGAGGGCAGAAGAACCACCCTCATAATGAGCACCCCGACGAGTCCGACGAGTGAAGCCTGTAGTGAACGCATCCAGGGAAGGAATCGAACAGTGTAGGGCTGTGTAGGAAACGCCCAAATGCTGTTCAGTAAACGCCGATTGTGGGAGTCGGGGACTTTGTCCTCCCTCGATATGGATGCCCTCTGCGGAACGACTCCCAAGAAAACGGGCAGGGGCGACGGCAACGGAAGATCGCAAGGGCGCCTCACGAGGCCGGCACACTCGCTTACAACAAACATGGCCAGCATGCACGGCGCCTGAAAGACCGCCGTGACGGGGAGTTGCGGAAACCGAAACAAGGGGCAGAGAAGGATCGGGATCTATTCGGACTAGAACCATCGCGCGCGTGTGGCGCGCGCTCAGGCTTTCCAGCCCCAAGCGACGCCTGGGCCAGGCGAGGTCGCCTTCAAGCGGTTCGCCCTGAGACCACCCCAAGACAGCCCTCAGCCAGCCCAAGACGGCTCCGAGGCAGCCCAGGGCGGCTTGCAGACGACCCTGGGACCCACCCAGACTGCAGCAAGACTTTCCATTATGGCTTGAAAACGCACAGGACTCCAAACCGATCCCAAGTGGCCTGTGCCAGGCCCCCGAGATCTCATGAATTCCGATGCCGTACCATCGTCCATGACAAAACATAGCTTCCAAGCGGCCTCCAGACGACAACCGAGCAAGCACCCAACTGCCGCCTCTGTCAGGTGAAAGGTGTACGCAGAGGGACATGCCAGCCCGATGCGCTCGTGCTGGAAGCACGCGTCCGACCCGATTGTGTAGCAAGTGCAGCAGCCTTACGGTGTGCAGCTTCCCCACCACGAAGGCTCAGAGCTTAGGCTGTCTGAGCGTTCGCGTCGCCCCTGCGGGGCCGACGCGCACACAGCACAATGAAAAGAGGCCCAAGGGCACACACATATAGATACACCCAAAATCCAGGATTCCCCATCTTGTCCCATGTTTTATGGTAGTCTTCCCCCCCACGTCCCATATGTTCCAATGTTCCCCTGGGAGTCGACGATTCATTGTGTCGATGTGCTTTTTTCCCCTCCTGCAGTAAGCATGTTTGGGTGATGCCGAAGCAAGCCTGACCTTCCAGAGTGCAGGAAAATGGCCCTCCGGACCCATAAGCCGACGGTGACAGTTCAACACCTCGCCTGCAAGCTCAGCTCAAACATCCTGGTGCTGTTTTTCGGCCTTCCTGGAAGATCAAGGAAGAGGCGGGGCTAGCGAATTCGCTCACGCAGCTGGCTTTCCCGCGGCGCCTCCTGGAGCTGGAGGCGCCAATGTATCGAGCACAGCGCCCGGCAGCGCCGCCGAAACCCGCCGCATGCAGCAATTTTTTTCGGGACCGAGAATAGAGGAGGCCCTTCCCGGGTCCGACCATTTTCCCGCGGGCACTTTGTCGTTGCGGACCTCGAGGAACAAAAACTGCCGTTTGACGAACATGTGTCGTCGGATATCCGCGGTTTGGACGCTTGAAATGCGCACGGAAAAAAACAAACACGATGCCCAACAACATCTCTTGTCTTGTCCACAGCCGACAGCGGCAGCTGTTTGGGCAGGCGGCGTTCTGTCTCAAGTGGACAACGCCCGCGGCGACGCCGACAGCGAACCCAATTCAAAATGGACAGGAAATGGTGTCGGTCTTCGTGCCTATTCTTCCCATTCCCATTTCGATCGTGCCGATGATCGGCGACTCCGAAGGGTGTGATTCGCCAAAGGCGTGGGTGGCAACCAGCACCCTGGGGGGCACTGTGGGTGGGCGGCCGGGGACCTCGACAGTGCTCTCGCCGTGCCCCGAGGAAGCCCGACGAGGACACCGTCGTACCCCCCAGGCCCAGAACGACCCAGATCGCAAACCGAACCCCGGCGTGCCCGCCCGTCAGAAGAAGCAGGCAGAATCATGAAGTAGGACGGCGGATGCAGTAGATTGGGCTCGGGCCCGCCCAGAGGATAACACAAAGCGACAACCAAGCACATCTCGATCACTGAGGTCGGACGGCGCTTAAAGTAGCCTGGGATTCGGGAATCCAGCGGTACCTGCTTCCAACGACCGGCGTGTAACCATACTCTTTGTAGTGGCCGAGCGGAGGCCCTCCTCCCCTAGAGGCCTCCTGGATGGGGTCCGAGCAGACGGGGTCGGAGGATCGCGCCGCCTCGCCGATGTATCGACGACGCATCGACGGCGACGACGGCAGTGCATCGGCGTCGTCGGCGTGGAGAGAAAATCGTGCTCCACATCGAGCCGCATCGCCGATGCATCGGCGATGCGGCGCGATCCTCCAACCCCGTCTGCTCGGACCTCATCTGAGCGACGATAAAAGTATCCCGGCAAAGCTACCTAACAGCGATGTGTAGGAGCATCTCTGGAAGCATTCCCCTGAATATTCAGATGAGAATCCAGTTGTAGAATTCTGCTGTTCTCGCAGTCGTAGTCGCATTCGCGATGACAGTCGCAGTGGCAAAGGCAGTCGCAGTCACAGCCTCAGCCTCAGCCTGCCTCAGCCTCAGCCTCAGCCTGCCTCAGCCTCAGCCTGCCTCAGCCTCAGCCTCAGCCTGCTTCAGCCTCAGCCTCAGTCTGCCTTCAGCCTCGGCCTCAGCCTCAGCCTGCCTCAGCCTCAGCCCTCAGCCTCAGCCTCAGCCTCAGCCTGCCTCAGCATCAGCCTGCCTCAGCCTCAGCCTCAGCCTGCCTCAGCCTCAGCCTCAGCCTGCTTCAGCCTCAGCCTCAGTCTGCCTTCAGCCTCGGCCTCAGCCTCAGCCTCAGCCTCAGCCTGCATCAGCCTCAGCCTCAGCCTCAGCCTCCTCAGCCTCAGCCTCAGCCTCAGCCTCAGCCTCAGCCTCAGCCTCATCAGCCTCAGCCTCAGCCTCAGCCTCAGCCTCAGCCTGCCTCAGCCTCAGCCTCAGCCTGCTTCAGCCTCAGCCTCAGTCTGCCTTCAGCCTCGGCCTCAGCCTCAGCCTGCCTCAGCCTCAGCCTGCATCAGCCTCAGCCTCAGCCTCAGCCTCAGCCTCAGCCTCAGCCTCAGCCTGCCTCAGCCTCAGCCTCAGCCTCAGCCTCAGCCTCAGCCTCAGCCTGCCTTCAGCCTCGGCCTCAGCCTCAGCCTGCCTCAGCCTCAGCCTGCATCAGCCTCAGCCTCAGCCTCAGCCTGCCTCAGCATCAGCCTGCCTCAGCCTCAGCCTCAGCCTGCCTCAGCCTCAGCCTGCCTCAGCCTCAGCCTCAGCCTGCTTCAGCCTCAGCCTCAGTCTGCCTTCAGCCTCGGCCTCAGCCTCAGCCTGCCTCAGCCTCAGCCTGCATCAGCCTCAGCCTCAGCCTCAGCCTGCCTCAGCCTCAGCCTGCCTCAGCCTCAGCCTGCCTCAGCCTCAGCCTCAGCCTGCCTCAGCCTCAGCCTCAGCCTGCCTTCAGCCTCGGCCTCAGCCTCAGCCTGCCTCAGCCTCAGCCTGCATCAGCCTCAGCCTCAGCCTCAGCCTGCCTCAGCATCAGCCTGCCTCAGCCTCAGCCTCAGCCTGCCTCAGCCTCAGCCTCAGCCTGCTTCAGCCTCAGCCTCAGTCTGCCTTCAGCCTCGGCCTCAGCCTCAGCCTGCCTCAGCCTCAGCCTGCATCAGCCTCAGCCTCAGCCTCAGCCTGCCTCAGCATCAGCCTGCCTCAGCCTCAGCCTCAGCCTGCCTCTGCCTCAGCCTCAGCCTGCTTCAGCCTCAGCCTCAGTCTGCCTTCGGCCTCGGCCTCAGCCTCAGCCTGCCTCAGCCTCAGCCTGCATCAGCCTCAGCCTCAGCCTCAGCCTGCCTCAGCATCAGCCTGCCTCAGCCTCAGCCTCAGCCTGCCTCAGCCTCAGCCTCAGCCTGCTTCAGCCTCAGCCTCATCTGCCTTCAGCCTCCTCAGCCTCAGCCTCAGCCTCAGCCTGCCTCAGCCTCAGCCTCAGCCTCAGCCTGCCTCAGCATTCAAAATGTGGCCCGGGAATGGAGTTCTGGGAACTCGAAGAACACGAAGTGGCCTACAGTTGGCTCCGGGCATTCAAAATCATGCCCAGGAATGGAGTTCTGGGAACTCGAAGACCACGAAGTGGCCTACAGTTGGCTCCGGGCATTCAAAATCATGCCCAGGAATGGAGTTCTGGGAACTCGAAGACCACGAAGTGGCCTACAGTTGGCTCCGGGCATTCAAAATCATGCCCAGCAATGGAGTTCTGGGAAACTCGAAGAACACGAAGTGGCCTACAGTTGGCTCCGGGCATTCAAAATCATGCCCAGGAATGGAGTTCTGGGAACTCGAAGACCACGAAGTGCGTTACTGTTGGCTAAAAAAAAGAATCCCCGGCATCCTCCCCCGGATCGCGCCCAGACCCCCCTGGGGCGTCAAGATGTCTGTTTTGACCCTACTAGAAACCTATCAGTCTTCGCTGTTAGGTAAAAACGGGTCTTACGCGAGATGACAGAACGGCCTTACGCGCGGCTTACGCGGGCCGCTGGCGCGGCACTCCACATTGAAGACGAGGGCGCTTAATCGAGAACTTACGCGGGTAACTTACGCGCCAATGTCGGCGCAGACGACCCCGTTTTCTGTCGTCGCCGCGAGGGGACCAAACGCAAGCGCGCAAGACGCTACTGCCGCACCGCGTTCGGCGGTCGGGAAACCCCAGTGGGCCCGCACTCAATGGTCACTCCGGCGAAGGGTCACTCTTGCGTGTAGTCGATGGATCCCCTCCACCCCCCACCTTGCCCTCGCTCGGACGTCCACTCCCCGTGCACTTCTCGGTTTCGTGTTTTTTGGGTCGTTTTTTGTTGCAAGATGATCCAGGATGCTCCTCGATGGTCCTCGCCGGGCAAAACTGCATACGTCCAGGCGATGCCAAGCCGCGCAACGCCCCCGCCTGGCCCTCCCACGTCGGCGTGACGGTGACGGGCCTGCCCTCCTGTGGCGAGCGGGCCGCGCGGCACGGGCCGCGGGGGGAGGGGGGGGGGGGCAGCCCCGGCCGCGGCCACGGGTCAGGGCGAGCTCGGGCGTGGCTCGGCGGCGAGCGAAGAGGGCTTTTGGGCCAGCCAGGGGAAGCGTCGTCGTCGCCGTCGTCGTCGGAGCGTTGTGCATCTGCAAGATTTGTGATGAAGCGCCCAAATACTAAGTTTAGATGTCGATCGTTAACGTTTGCAAGACTGGTGCGTTTAGTAGGCTTTCGACATGAGCGTGCCAGTATGGACTTCGAGCATTTGTTTGCAAGGGATTGTTGGTCAAATCATCTCTTGCGATGAACGAATGTGCGCGCATAGTATCTTTTGACAGGGGTGAGGGGGGGCGTCGATACTGGCTGGGCTGGGATGGTATGAGCTCCTATGGGAAATGGGCGCCGAAGCAGAATCCGCCGACCCTGTCGGCGTGTGAGGGGCTGTGCCGTTCGTCGTCGTCGTCGTCGTTGCAGTGCTCTAGCGGGCTTGAGGGAAATCGATCCATGTCGTAACCACGTCAAAGGGAAGCCCCGTTCCCTTTTTTCCTTCCCCGGCGCGGGGGGGGTCCGGAGGGGGTCCCGGTGGGGGGTCCGGGGGGGGGTCGCCACCCAAATGCGCTTTCACTACCCGCGCGTGCTGCGCGGTCCCCGCGCGGTTCCGGAACCCTGCGCGGCTTCCTGGTTCCCAAAATGGCCCCTGGAGGCCGACAATGACGAAAGACTGAACATGTAGAACAACTCCCCCCCCCTCCTCCTCCTCCTCCTCCTCCTCCTCCTCCTCCTCCTCCTCCTCCTCCTCCTCCTCCTCCTCCTCCTGCTCACTCTGCGAACTCCGAACCCCAGGCTCGAGGATCGAGGCTTTCTGGCGCCGCCAGAGCCCTCACTCTTCGGCCACCCTCCTGCTCCTCTTCTCCTCCTCCTCCTCCTCCTCCTCCTCCTTCTCCCGCCAACCCCCTGTCCTACTCCTCCTCCTTCTCCTCCTCCTCCTCCTCCTCCTCCTCCTCCTCCTTCTCTAACTTCTCCACCACCTCCTCCTCCTCCTCCTCCTCCTCCTCCTCCTCCTCGTCGTTCCTCCTCCTCCTCCTCCTCCTCCTCCTCCTCCTCCTCCTCCTCCTCCTCCTCCTCCTCCCTCCTCCCTCCCTCCTCCTCCTCCTCCTCCTCCTCCTCCGCCTCCTCCTCCTCCTCCTCCTCCTCCTCCTCCTCCTCCTCCTCCTCCTCCTCCTCCTCCTCCTCCCTCCTCCCCCCTCCTCCCCTCCTCCTCCCCCTCCTGCTCCAACCTCCACCTCCACGCTCCTCCTCCCTCATCCTCCCTCCTCCTCTCCCTCCTCCTCCTCCTCCCTCCTCCTCCTCCTCCTCTCCTCCTCCTCCTCTTCCTCCTCCTCCTCCTTCTCCTCCTCCTCCTCCTCCTCCTCCTCCTCCTCCTCGCCTCCTCCTCCTCATCTTCCACGGCCTCCGTCTCCGCCCGCTTCGTCGCCGACGTCGTGGTCCTCTTCAGGGTCGGCGACACTGGCCGTCAGGCCTTCGCAATCATACGTATTGTGCGATCTCCTAGGGAATGTCGACAACTCCGGGGGGGAGGAGGTGGACACTCGAGAGGACACTCGAAGCGCTCGAATAGGACACTCGAGAGGACACTCGAGGGGGTGGACGCTGGAGAGGACATTCGAAGCGCTCGAAGAGGACACTCGAGAGAACACTCGGGGTGGACACTCGGGTGGACACTCGAGAGAACACTCGAGCGGCCACTCGAGGGGGTGGACGCTTGAGAGGACACTCGAAGCGCTCGAACAGGACCCTCGAGAGGACACTCGGGGTGGACCCTCGAGAGGACAATCGGGGTGGACACTCGAGAGGACACTCGAGAGGACACTCGGGTGGACACTCGAGGGGACACTCGAGGGGGTGGACTCTCGAGAGGACACTCGAAGTGCTCGAAGAGGACACTCGAGAGGACACTCGAGGGGGTGGACGCTCGACAGGACACTCGAAGCGCTCGAAGAGGACTCGGGGTGGACACTCGGGGTGGACACTCGGGGTGGACACTCGAGAGGATACTCGGGGGGGTGGACGCTCGAGAGGACACTCGACGCGCTCGAATAGGACCCTCGAGAGGACACTCGGGGAAGACACTCGAGAGGACACTCGAGGGGGTGGACGCTCGAAAGGACACTCGAAGCGCTCGAAGAGGACACTCGAGAGGGCACTCGGGGTGGACGCTGGAGAGGACACTCGAGAGAACACTCGAGAGGACACTCGAAGGGACACTCGAGGGGGTGGACGCTCGAGAGGACGTTCGGGGTGGACACTCGAGAGGACACTCGGGTGGACACTCGAGTGGACACTCGAGTGGACACTCGAGAGGACACTCGCGAGGACACTCGAGGAGGTGGACACTCGAGAAGACACTCGAAGCCTCGAAGAGGTCACTCGAGAGAAGTCTCGGGCTTCACACTCGAGAGGACACTCGAGGGATTGGACGCTCGAGAGGACACTCGCGATGGCACTCGGGGTGGACACTCGAGATGACACTCGAGTGGACACTCGAGAGGACACTCGAGAGGACACTCGAGGGGGTGGACGCTCGAGAGGACACTCGAAGCGCTCGAATAGGACACTCGAGAGGACACTCGGGGTGGACAGTCGAGAGGACACTCGGGGTGGACACCCGGGGTGGACACTCGAGAGGACACTCGAGGGGGTGGATGCTCGAGAAGTCACTCGAAGTGCTCGAATAGGACCCTCGAGAGGACACTCGAGGGGGTGGACACTCGAGAGAACACTCGAGAGGACACTCGGGTGGACACTCGAGAGGACACTCGAGGGGGCGGACTCTCGAGAGGACACTCGAAGTGCTCGAAGAGGACACTCGAGAGAATAGTCGGGGTGGACACTCGAGAGAACACTCGAGAGGACACTCGGGTGGACACTCGAGAGGACACTCGAGGGGGTGGACGCTCGAGAGGACACTCGAAGTGCTCGAAGGGGACACTCGAGAGGACGCTCGAGAGGACACTCCGGTGGACACTCGAGTGGACACTCGAAAGGACACTCGAGGGGGTGGACACTCGAGAGGACACTCGAAACGCTCGAAGAGGACACTCGGGAGGACACCCGGGGTGGACACTCGAGAGGACACTCGAGGGGGTGGATGTTCGAGAGGACACTCGAAGCGCTCGATAAGTCGATTCTCATATTGAGAAGACGCTCGGAGCGCCCTCCAACGCGCGTGGCGCCCAGGAAACGCCCACGGCTGAGCACCGGCCGGGAACCCGGAGAGATCCCAGCGGGGCGTCAATTGACGCCCGCTGGGATCTCTCCGGCCAAGGAGGCGGCCCCTGCAAGGCACGAGCCGCAAGCTAGGCATTCGTGCCCAAGTTTGGCGGCGCGCAAAGGGGGGGTAGGGGGGGAGGGGGAAACGCTCCTTGGGAGGAAGCTGCTGCTTAGAAGGCGCCGGCCTTACGTCTTCAGCGAAGGCCCGCGCCTTCTGACAAGCAGGGGTGCTTCCAAAAAGCCTTCCCCCATCCCCCTACCCTCCTCTGCGCGTGGCCGACTCGTGGTGAAATAATGTATGCTTTCCAACACTACAGCTTACGCAGTCATCCCACCCACTGCTAGAAATCTGGCGATACTAACCGCAATAAGCAATTTTGACCCCCCGTGGGGTTATCGTTTGCACTTCACCGTAATTAAATAATTCGTGGGGGCGGTTTTCGCGGAAAGATACTTTGAGCACCGTGCAAAAGAAAGGAAAATAAACTAATAATTCCCGCGCCTTGGCTCGGGCGGTATCCCAATGGGAATCTGTAGGATTCCCAGATATTCCTAGGAGTCCCCCATAGGTCTCCCCCATAGGACTCCCCCAAGAGGACTCACCCATAGGACTCCTCCATGGACTCCCCCATAGGACTCCTCCATTGGACTCGCCCACAGCAGATTCGTCTGCGTTCAGAGCAGTTTCTGAGGATGTCTCAGGCGAGGCGCTTGTTTCAGAACCACACAGAGGCCAGATTGCGAGAATGTTCCAGGCGGTTTCCTTGTTTCGGCGGTCAGACTCGTCTGCGTTCTAAGCAGAGTGCGGGGTGCCAAGGTAACGCTTCCAGGGTGCTGGAGCGTTATACTTTCGCAGGAAAGAGGGGGTCTTAATTGCTTCTCTGGGCTATTCGAACGCAGGAGATGCAGCGGTAAGTACTTTGAAACGAGATGCAGCGGCAAGCGCTTTGAACAATCGAAAAGGTCGCAATCAGTAGACTGCGAATATGGCGGGCATAGACGCCAAACATCGTGATTGTCCACAAGACCGGCCACGGCCGTGGAAAACTGTTCACACAGCGGGCCCAGCGGCAAACATGGAACATGTGGCACACACAAACAGAGCAGAAGCGTGCGCAGAAAAGAGGCACGGGTTGGTAGGGGCGCGTCGAGGCACTCATGACGCAGACCCGGGAAACTGCACACGCGAAAGATCAGGATTCTCCTGGCATATGATTCCACTCACACACGGAGCCCACGCACAAAGACACGTACACACAGCACACCGACGCACACACTCGCACACGCGCTATGCGCGCACACGCATGGCAGATGAACGGGCGGACAAATCGAGTAACCAAGATCGTTGAACGCCTCAAAACATCAATTCGATCCTCAAACTCCTGGGCCCCGAGGGTAAAGTAAAGGCCACTTGGCTGGGCTGGCGAACCCTGCTGGATTCCAACAAATAGCGTTGGGCGGCAGCGGCGGTCCAAGTTGCAGGTTGTCTGCGGACCGAGGCCAACTTGAAACTTCATTGTGTTGGTCGTCTGAAGGGCAGCATATACATGGAGAGAACTCAAACAGCGGAAGAGGATAAAGACATGGACGACGACAACTGCGATAGACAGTGGAAATGGAGTACGACGTCGGTCGTTTCTTGGACAAATCCCGATGTACACTCCGGGGCGCTATGCTCACGCGAGACATCGATAGACATGTGCAGAAGTGTCGTGTAGAATTCATGTGCGTTGATGCTTCGAAACGAAATCGGGCCAGTGTGCATGCTTACGTTCGCTGGTGCAGTGGTGACGATCGTGATTGATTGCAGGAGACGCAAGATGATAGATCCCACACTTGCCAACAATACTGTACGATCCTGCATCACAAAATCATCCCATACTGGATGACAATCCCGCGGCCTCAAGCCCGCACATCCCAAAGACGTCGACATAGGAGAATCCGGAATGACTGGCGCTTCCATGCCGCACGTTCTGAATCCCTCAATCTTGCTTCCCGGTCGTGCCGCTGCGTCAGACCTGCATCACCCTTCGTCACTCCATTCTGGTAGGCTCGAACAAACTGCGGCGCAGAGAGCAGACGGTGGGGGCGGGCAGCGGGAACCGATGCACCCAGGGATGCCTTGAATTTTGTGGTGGCATCGTGCAGGGAGGCGGCTGCAAAAACCACGTTTGCTCAAGAGTGTCGGCCGCTGTGCTGCTGGGCCGCCTTCTTGCTCCGCAGTGACGAACGGCATCGGGGCCAACACGAGGATGCTGATGAAGAGGAACGAACAAGGAGGGGGAACGGGAGCAGGAGGAGGGAATAGTTTTTGAGGGACGGGGGGGATAATATAGAGAGTAATGAAGAGGAGGCGGAGGAGGAACACATACAATATAAGATAACACAAGATAAGACCCGTCGGGCGCGTCGCTCCATTCCTGACTGCAAGGCCGAAGGCGCTTGGGTTAGGAGGAAGAAAGGAAGAGGAACAGCAGATGGACAACAACGAGGAGCCAGGGACGAGGGGGGAAACTCCCATGACAAGATACTAATCGATGCAACCCACATTTTCCTCAAGTCAGACTGGGGGAACATAGCTGGCTCTCGGATGCGTATGGAAGCGCCTACCAGCGGGTACCGCTGGAAAGACAGCCTTCTCTGGCCAACGGGGGGGAAACGGAGGAAGAGGAGGAACAATAACAGGATGACGTGGAGGGCAACGACGTGCACGCAGCCGCGGGGAAAACGGCAGAGGGAGCATGACCAAACCTCTGGTGCCATGGTCGCTGTTTAACAACGGCGACCCACGGGGACAAGTTTCTCATCCCGGGTCGTTTCGTCACGACCTCGGGGCCTGGGAAGGGCGCCGCGGAAGCCGAACGCGGCGAAGCGGCTCCGCACTGATTTTCTCCAGTGCGTTGGCGGCATAACTTTCGTGCCGCACCTCCAGGAATCGTCCGTCTTGATAATCTCACAACGCGGATGTTCTCACGTCCTGGGGAATGGGGGATGTTTTTCGTTTTGCCCACCGGGCGGCGAGCGAGCGAAAGCGGCGCAGCGCCGTCCCGCGCGCACGCTCGTGCCCACCCCCGCCGCGGGCGCCCCGCGTGGGGAGGGACGAGGGCGATGCCGAGGAGGGGGGGGGGTGGACTGGACTGGAACTCTGGGGGCCCAGTTGGTCTGTCCACCACCTCAGGTCTGGCTTCGCAAACGCCGCCGACGAGCGTTCGCAAGAGATTCTGAAGCGCACTGTATGCCAGTACCTGGCGAGCTGCCCAGCATCGCTCTCTGCTGAGCAGCGCTGGCCCTGGCCGCGCACCAGTGCGCGGGCACGCAGACTTGCTGCGGGATGAGGGGGAGAAGGATGCGATTTGTGTGACGCTGAAGGACAGACGTACCAGTACTATGTGGCCCCTTGGGGGCGCCCGTCCGAACCGAACTTTGCCAGTCGCAGAGCGGCAGCATGCATCCGCGCGCGAGACTCTAGTGGCCGGGGGCGCGCGGCGTACCATTTGACTGGAGGCAACAAAAGAAACGGGGGAGGCGGCCGCGGAGGAAAGGCGGGGGATGAAGGCGAAGGCACCCACCGCGGACGAAATTCCAGGACGAAGGATGAGCGCGTCGATGCGGCCAGCTGCGCTGAAGAAGCCTGGCAGAGGGAGCGGGGCGGCGTCGCGGCCGCACCCATGGGCCGAAGCTAAGGCCACAGACGCTGAAAACATGATGGGCAAGGCGAACCACTACATCAAGAAAAACGACAGGCAGAGGATCCGAAGCAGCAGGAGCTAGAGCACCCACAGGTTCACCGCGATACGCGGGCGTCAGACTTTGCTGCGCTGGAACGGCGCCAGCAGGATGCGAGACACGGTCCGAAAGGCCGCGGAAGGGGTGGTGCCGGCTGCGTCGAAGCGTGGGCTGCAGCAAAATGCTGCCACGCTGGGCCCGCAGGGCGATGATCTGCAAAGGCGGCGCGGCCCCGGGGTGGGGCCGGCGGACATCGCCGGGCGGGGCCCAGGCAGCGGCGCAGGAGGGGGGGAGAGGAGGCGGGCTGCCGAGCCCAGCTGGCGCGCGTCGGAGCCGGGCAGGGCGGAAGCGCGGCGGCATCAAGGCGCATAGACGGCAGCGAAAGCTGCCAGGCCCCCCCCCCAGGGCGCCGAACTGCAGGGGCGGCGCGGCAGGGGCCCACGCCGACAACCATCGCTAGGCGAAGCCCCGGCGGCGGGCCGCGGCGGGGGCGGGGCTGGGAAAGGGGCGAGCCGCCAGGCCCGGCCAGCGCGCGCGCGACGCAGCCAGGCTGGGCGGACGACGCCCGACGACAGGGAATAGCCGGGCGGAGGCGAGCCCAGCTGCAGGAGCAGCGGGGAGGACCGCCCAGAGCGAGTAACACGACGCCTCAGGCAACTGCAGTGGGAGCAGCGCGATGCTGGTAGCGTCTGATCGGAACGGAGCTCCACCCTTGGGGGGGGGCAGACGCTCCGGCCAGGGCTAGAGGAACGCCCGCCTTGGGGGGCGGGCGCCCCAGCCAGGTCCGGGCGGGGAGGAGGGGCAGCGCGCGGGTCGGGGGCACCTGATCTGCTCGTGGATACGCGGGGAAGGAGCAGAGGGCGCCCGCTGCCGAGGGCGGCCGCCCAGGTCTGAACGACAGAGGGCAACGCGGGGGCGGAGAACCGCCTCGGGGGCATTGGGGGGTCGCGCGCGCGCCAAGAGCACATGATCAGCGCGCGAACTGGTCGAGGGGCAAGGGCGTCCACCTTGGGCGGCAGACGCCCTGCGCAGCGTCGACGGGGCGTGAAACGCGCGACCCCGGGCGGCGCCCATCTTGGGGGGCAGGCGTCCAATGGTGTCGGAGCCAGGTAGGTAGGTGGCGTTGAACGAAGTCGGAGCTGGCCCAGCAGACCCCAGCATGCGCGCCTGGGTCGGCGCCGACCCTGAGCGCCCTGAGGCCACGAAGCGCCCCCGCCCAGGGCGCCGGTGCCAGCGGGGTGCTCGCCCGCCGGGGGCGCATTTCCATGCGGGCGGCATTTGTCCCCAGAGCGCCCACGAGGCGTCGCTGGTGTGACTGCCTCCGTTGCCTTTCCCCCGCTAAATATGCGCCTGGCGCTCCTGTCGCTGGCGCCGCGCGTCGCCCTGGTCGACCCGTGCATCGCGGTGGCGACAGAAGCCCCGACAGCCAAGAAGTGCCTGCAGAACTCCTTGCTGCCGTCCGGGCTGCGGCGTCCTTTGCGTCTTCCTTGGCTATCCCGCCGGTGGCGGGCCCGGTTCCAGCCCTCCACGAACGTCGCCTCGCGCGGCCCCTGAGCCGGTTGATGGCGTCGGCCCAAGTCTCGAGGCGACACTCCCTGAGGCCCCACTGCTGCATGTCCCCAGTTACTGTCGCACCGGGGCGCGCGGTGGAGACCGTCGCCAACCGCGTCGGCGGTGCGCGGCTTCAGTTCCCCTTCGCCCCGGGGGCCGTCGCAAGGCTTACTGGCTGCGCCAGGACAGCGGGCCCCCATAGGCGCGGCACCATGCTTCGCCGCCCCCCCTCGGCCCTCGCCGGGTAGTCGCTCCGCGCAGCACCATCTGCTGCACTGGCCGCTGCGGCGGCGGCGCTGGGCGGGCGGCCATCATCGCGGATGGCCCGGGCAAGAAGCGCGTGGTCTACGCCGTCTCATGCCGAGACCCAGTCGCCCCCACCCTGGCGCGGAAGAAGCGTCGAATTGGGCCCCCTCGCCCAGCGGCCCCACCACCGCGCCAGGCAGGGCGCTGGGGTCGGAAGGAAGCGCTCGCCAGCCTCGTCCGCTTGCGCATGCCGACGCGCGGGGGGCGCGCCCTCGCCATCCCCGGCCGCGCCGCAGTCCCCGCCCCGCACCTCGGGGGCCACCTGGCGCGAGACGCTCGGCCCGCCAACGGAACTAGACGGTCTTCGACGGCAGCAGGGGTGGCAGCGTTGCTCTCTGTAGCCGCGCCACCCTTCTTCGTCGCCGCCAGTGCGGGGGGCCCTCCCGGCCCCCGCCCTCGTCTTAACCCAGGGGTGCTCAAGTTCTATGTCATAGATCCTGCTTCATGTAGAAAGATCATAATATAGATCCTGTATGTGAAAAACCATAGTAGGATCTATAATTCATGTATGTGCTGATCCTCCGATCAGCACGAATAATCATTATCCTCATAGAGTATCACTGAGTTAGTGTTGTAGTGCGTGGCCTTCTCCATAAAATCCTCCCTCACTTTCCTCTCCCCCTCTATTTCGTTTCTCGCCGTTCGCTCCTGTCTCGTTTCATGTTATCGGTAACTTCTGCAGAGAAAGCCACTGCAGTGGCAGTGGCTTTCTCTGCAGCGTTCGTTTTAGGTGAGTGGTCGCGTCTGAGGCACCTGAGGGGGAGGAGAAGGAGGTTGGGGAGAAGGAGCAGGAGGAGAACGAGTGGGGGGAACAGGCATTCAGGTCCTGCGTCGTCGTGGCTGTCTGCGTTTACGCAGCCATTTTGGCTGAATGACACCGCGGGGCCCCGCGGTGTACGCGGACATCCGCGCGTACATACGCAAGGTGCCGCTGCACATGGCGGTT